TAAGAGGAGCTTTCCTTTCGCTGCTGCGGCCGCAGCCATGAGTATGCTCAGGCTTCAGAAGAGGCTCGCCTCTAGTGTCCTCCGCTGTGGCAAGAAGAAGGTCTGGTTGGACCCGAATGAGACCAATGAAATTGCCAATGCTAACTCGCGTCAGCAGATCCGTAAGCTAATCAAAGATGGGCTGATCATCCGCAAGCCTGTGACGGTCCATTCACGGGCTCGCTGCCGGAAAAACACCTTGGCCCGCCGGAAGGGCAGGCACATGGGCATAGGTAAGCGTAAGGGTACAGCCAATGCCCGAATGCCAGAGAAGGTCACGTGGATGAGGAGAATGAGGATTCTGCGCCGGCTGCTCAGAAGATACCGGGAATCTAAGAAAATTGATCGCCACATGTATCACAGCCTGTACCTGAAGGTGAAGGGGAATGTGTTCAAAAACAAGCGGATTCTCATGGAACACATCCACAAGCTGAAGGCAGACAAGGCCCGCAAGAAGCCCGCAGGTCTAAGACCAAGGAAGCACGAAAGCGCCGTGAAGAGCGTCTCCAGGCCAAAAAGGAGGATATCATCAAGACTTTGTCCAAGGAGGAAGAGACCAAGAAATAAAAGCTCCCCCTTTGTCTGTACATACTGGCCTCTGTGATTACATAGATCAGCCATTAAAATAAAACCAGCCTTTATCTGCTAAAAAAAAAAATAAAAATAAATAAGAATAAGAGGATAGTCTGTTCCAGCCTGAGTAACAAACTTAGTATAAATAAAATAGGGAAGCCAAATGCAAGACAGCATTCAGTCTCAGGAGCATCAACTCATTCTGCTGGCAGGCAGGCATGCTGGTGTCCAGGGCTTCCCATATTCCACTCTAGGAGCCTCATGTAAGATAAACTTGAAATGTGGGTTCATGGTTCAGAAACGAGGGTTTGAGGAGATAAACCTTTAATCCTCCTCCCTCTCTTGGAAAAAAAATTCCAAAAAACAGAGGGACACCAGGAACTCTTCTTTAGCTCTTAAGAATGCTGGGCTCAGGTGTCATTCACTCTAGTCTCACATCATGTTTGTCTGCATCTCTAGCTATTTGTACAGCACTGGTTAATAAACTATGTTCATACAGCTAAACAATTTAATCTCTTCTTGATGACTCAGGTAAGATAGCAGAGAAATCACCAGGACAAGCCAGAAATATTTCTGTGAAAAACACTTACTACACAGAACATTTGTTGAAGCCATTGAATTGCCAAGGTTTTACTGTACTGAACACAGCATGCTTCTTAAGTGGGTTCCAAGTGTGGCCCTTGGGCTGCTTAGCACAACATCTGCCCTTGCCTGCTTCTGTAATGGATATTTGTGGGTATTTATAGGCTAAGCCTAAGCAATGGCACTCACAGTACCGACTGTGATGCCGAACTAATCAACACCAGAGCTGTGGCTACAGCTGCATGTTTAAAACCTTATTAGACAGGAAGACTGGGTACGGTGGCTCATCCTGTAATCCCAGCACTTTGGGAGGCTGAGGGGGGTGGATCACCTGTGGTCAGGAGTTCAAGATCAGCCTGGCCAACATGGCAAAACCCAGTCTCTATTAAAAGTACAAAAAGTAGCCAGGTGTAGTGGTACACGGCTGTAATCCCAGCTACCTGGGAGGCTGATGCAGAAGAATCACTTGAACCCAAGTGTCGGAGGTTGCAGTGAGTGGAGATCCCGCCGCTACACTGCACTCCAGCCTGGGTGACAGAACAAGACTCTGATTCAAAAGAAAAAAAAAAAAAGGTATTTACAATGGTGTGACATAAGTACCTAACATATGGAAAAAGGCTACTCAGTGAACAAAGCCACGGCAGCATCATCGTGTATGAAAAAAGTATCCAATCAACTGACCTTTTTTAAAAGTCAAAAAGAAACAAAGGGAAATAAAATGTTAGGAAATGATTTAATCTCCTCTGTTGCTGTTTTTCATTATAATATTTTTCTCCTGCAGCACCATGCCTTAGGAACCCAGTTCCTAGATATTCTCAAGCATTTCTATTGTATAACCATTGCCCCTGGTGCTGTGAATGAAAGATGCTATCTGCCTGCAGCATTAAAATGCAGGTCGGCCCAAAAGGAATTCTCACCATTCACAAAATAAGAGCAGAACTAAGGCGCTTATGCTTCAGTGAACTACAACACTGCATTGAAAACTCAAGACAATATAAAACCCTAAGAAAGCTGTTTTCTTTCTAGAAGGAAAATATAAGAGTTAGTTTATTTTGGTGTAAGGAAAAATTAAAACAGAAATTTGTTTTCTGATTGAAGTAATATAGTTTTGTTTTGTTTTGCTTTAGTGGGGCATAGGAAAGTTGAAGGAACAGTTCCCTGAATAATGACAGTCTCATTCCCTAGAAATGATCTGGAAGACACTGGATAACCTGATTCTTAAAGAGTCTGGTTAATGTCTTGACTCCTAACATGTGACATTATTTTCAATTGGTCCCACTTGGCAGTTAGGTAGAAACGTCTCCTTTACATCAAGAAGAATGTCCTTGATTTCTCCTTTAGAGCAAGATAAATGTCAAGGGAAGGGTAATCTCATACGTATGCACTAAGGCTTTAATAAACAAATAGATTTAAAATCCCGAAAGAAAAAGAACATTTTATATTAAAGACTTAGTGAGTGGGAGTTTTACTTCTCATTCCCATGGAGCTCCCTATTTCTCACTCTGGCCCTGAAAAGAGCCCAGCAAAGCAACATGGTCACTGACACATACTGTGAGAAAATGTGTGAATGGAGCCTTACCACTCCTCTTCATTAAGGTCTTTAGTAAAATTTCAAAGTCAGTTTTACCAACAGTAAAAATTACCCTGCAGCCTGCAACATTTAATGGAAAGATTTCTTACTCCCTCTCCCTTTGCCAGGTATTACAGAACTTCACTCACTTTCCACTTACATGTTCTGAAGGAAGAAACAAGAATATTATTTTTGTTTCTTTTTTCTTTTTCTTTTTTTTTTTTTTTTTTTTTTTGAGATGGAGTCTCACTCTGGCTGGAATGCAGTGGTGTCATCTTGGCTCACTGTAACCTCTGCCTCATGGGTTTTCAAGCAATTCTCCTACTTTAACCTCCTGAGTGGCTGGGACTAGGTGCATGCCACCAGGCTTGGCTAATTTTTTCATTTTTATTTATTTATTCTTTGAGACAGAGTCTCACTCTGCCACCCAGGCTGGAGTGCAATGGCACCTTCTCCACATCTTGCACCCTCCACCTCCCAGGTTCAAGCAGTTCTTGTGCCTCAGCCTCCAAGTAGCTGGGACTACAGGTGTGCGCCACCATGCCCTGCTAATTTTCGTATTTTTAGTAGAGATGGTGTTACACCATGTTAGCCAGGCTGATCTCGAACTCCTGAACTTAAGTGATCTTTCCGCCTCAGCCTCCCAAAGTGTGGGATTACAGGCATGAGCCACTGCACCTGGCTTAATTTTTGTATTTTTAGTAGAAACGGAGTTTCACTATGTTGGCCAGGCTGATCTCGTACTCTTGACCTCAGATGGTCCACCCACTTTGGCCTCCCAAAGTGCTCGGATTACAGGCGTGAGCTACCATACCCAACCTTATTTTTGTTTCTAAGGCATTTTTTCTTTTAGATAGTCTCACTCTGTCACTGAGGCTAGAGTGCAGCAGTGCAATCACAGCTCACTGCAGCCTTAAACTCCTGGACTAAAATGATCCCCCTGCCTCAGCCTCCCAAAGTACTGGTCTACAGGTGTGAGCCATCATGCCCGACCCACAATGTACTTTTGAAGTAAGTAAAATGTCAAGGGAAAAGGTAGGCTGACTAAAAAAGAAAAAGCAGACCCTCTTTCTTCATATAAAATATTTTTCAGCCTCACATAAAAATTAAAATGAATGCATCCGACATTTTCAGTTATCAAGCTTAATTCACTTTTACTGTCGAGTTTTTCAGCAAGCCTACCTCTTAAGTGTGTCAATGTGTCACTGTTCCCAATCATCCTTGCATGAGTGGCACTCAAGGGGAATACTGAGTGAATGTGAGGAGGACCGCTGGCTAGCAGCATGACTGCAACTTCCCAGACTCTTAAAAAGTGTTCCTTGTCCTCCCTTTGTCCCCTACCCTAGCACTCTTGAACACAATGGCAAAAAGGTATGGATCAAACTATCTTCCTGGAGGTGACAAGCGGGGGAAGAAAAAATATTTGCTTCAAAGCAGATGATGATGTCACATGTCACAGTCATCTGATGGGTAGTAGGGTTCCCACACAGCTTTCAGCATTGCAAGTGACAACTATCTGTGCACTGAATTAATTGAGGAGGAAGAGAAGCAGCTACAAGTTAAAAGGCTCTGCTGCTCTTGACTTTCATATTCATACAGAGATACAAGATTGAATCTGACAAAGCCAGCAACAGATTGCAAAAAACCTCCAACAGCAAAGCTGGGAGCCATAGGCCAGTAATCTACATCCATGCAGTACGATGGCCGTGTGACCCCATGAGTACCAGCATAGGAGATAACCTTTCTGCACAGTAATCATAAGGTATCAAGGTTTTCTGTGAATTTCTAGATGATATAATTTAATATGTATCTGAATAAACATGGAACAGCCACTCAAATGTTCAAACTTTATTAACAGAAGCATGGCTCTATACAGAATTCCATCTTCAAATGAAACCAAATGTTTCCAAATAAATTTCTAACAAAACAATTTTACTGTGACTTGATAAACCTCCCCAGAATTAATGTTCACATCTATTAATTGGTTACTCTGCATGGCCAGCCTATGTACTACCCATGTACCTCCTACCATCTCCCATCTCTGCCTGGCCATGTCAGACTCAAGCACTCTAGTGAAAAGAAATTAACTTACAAAGTAGAAAATTCAATTTTCAGGACACCTCTAAGAGTCAAGAGTTCTCCATATGCTGAGTCGAAATCTTAGTGATTTTTACTTCTAGTTCTTTGTGGAACTACTATATAGAATACCTTATATTCAGTCTGAACTATTACTTACCTTTAGACGTTCAATAGCTTCCTCTCCTCCAGGTGTAGACATGATCCTCTCTTGAATACTGGTCACAGACGTCAAGCCCACCTGACTACTGAGTGAGCAGGAAGATGGGGATGAAGTGAGGGACCCCATGGATGCTGTGGAAAAATGGCCAGGGCGTTGATTCTCAGAGGCTAGCAAGTACCTATGCTTATTGTTCTGAAAATCTTTCAGATCTGGGAGATAGAAGGCAGAAAAAGTAGAGAAAAGGGAAAGAAGCAGAGGAAGAAAAAAAGACAGGAAGGAATATCATTGTAAGAAAGGACAGCATTAAAGCGCCAAGACAAAGACACGCTATGATACAAACACAGGTTACAACTGTTCTAGATGGCAGTTCTAAAACATGTCTGTCTTGAATACTGGTATCCGAGACGCTCCGAATCATTTCTGCACTTACAAACAAAAAGATTTCAATGTAGATTAACACCGTATCTTGTAGGGGGATAAACTGAGCCTCAAAGGATACTGCTTTGGTACTCTCCCTAAAAAAGCCAAACTACCTTCCATTTAGTCTCTCTAGTGTTCCAAGTCTACAATGTCTTCAGATTTACACTTTTCCAGTAGTTTGTAACAGTAAGGGGAAAACAGTGATCATTTATTTATCAATAATAATCCATACTGGTCTGGCTCAGTGTTTTATGTAATTCAGCAAAAATTTCCAAGAAAATGTTACAGTTAAAAATGTGTGCATTTAGTAGTTTGCTTTGTATGGCAACATTTCTTTTTATTTATTTATTTATTTATTTATTTATTTATTTATTTATTTAAGAGATAGGGTCTCTCCATGTTGGCCAGGCTGGTCTCAAACTCCTGACCTCAGGTGATCCGCCCACCTCGGCCTCCCAAAGTACTGGGATTACAGGCGTGAGTCACCGCGCCCTACCTTGTATGGTATTTCAACATGCTAAAAGGATTTTTAAATATGTCTTAAATTTAAAAAGAGGTAATTGTAGAAGTGAGAGGAATTTTTTTGAGTCATGGTTAAAAATTCAGGACTTGCTATGAAAAAAAAACAAAAAACCTCAGGACTAACTGATTGTCTCAACAGGGAAGAACAATTAGCAGATTAATGAGTTTTAGTGTAGGTTCCATTCTTCTATCAGAGCAAGCAAAAAATAAGGCTGATTTTTTTTGCTAATTTAAGTAAGGCACTTAATTAGCCTAACAGTACAACCACGGGTCACTGGTAAGCCTGCTTCCTAGCATAAAAAGCAAGTTTTAGGAACATACTTCTATTTACTAAGTCTCTAACAGAACTGTTAATTTTGCTTTTAAACTCAGTATTGGTAAAAGAAAAAAAAATTAAGCCACAAACAACAAAATTCATTAATTTGCCATTTGTACTTTCTTTCATTAGTCATCCTTCGCAAAAAGACACTAAAAGTAAACCATAAGTATTGGTGCAATCCAACTTTAAAATTAGCTCATTTTTAAATTTGAGAAATTAAAATTCATATCAAAACTAAGTAAGTTTCCTTAAAGGAGATGAGTCAATATACACAGTTGGAAAAAATACTATTAATTCTCTCTGGGCCTACTCATCTCTACCATTAAATTAAAGCCAATTTTTTAACTCCCTGAAAGCCACTGGTTGCCTCGAGACAGTTTGAAAACCACCATCTGCAAATACAGAGCATAGGGAAACAAGCAAAACAGCATCTTTCAAAAGGGGAATGGGGATTAGAGCAAAAAATTAGGCACCAGGGGGAAAAGACCAGGGTGGACAGAGTTTAGGTCCAATGGTCACATGCAAGCCCTAAAAGGAATTAAGAGAAATGGGTCAAAATGGAAATTGAGTAGTCAGGGCTGCTTTCTCTTACCAATACAGAATTAAAACTTAGTCATGCATGGTCTTTCAGGAAACACTGCAGCTGCTAAGAGAGGTAGGCAACAAGCTGGCAGCAGCAACACCTTGAGCACAAAAGCAAAACCAAGAAGGCACCTTTTCCACACCAGTATCGCTGAGCTTTGGAAATCTCAGACAGAGCTGCTGCAGTCCAAGAGTCACTTCTGTATCAAGACATTATAGTGCCTTCAAGCCCTAACCTCATAACAACCAGGGCTATGTTTGGTTTCTCCTATGCATTTTCTCAATGTCTGCTAAGCCTCAATACAAGCCTTAACTGTAGAAATAACTCAGTATAAATCTAAAAATTAACCCCAAAATCAAAATTTTTTTCTTCTAAGATAACAATTTTTTGATGAATTACCTTAAAAGGGTAAGAAATAATTTCCTCACCAACTTATGATATATATGGAGAGAATAATGAGGTTCATGTGATCCTTTAAAAATGTTCTCAAGCACCCATTTTAGATACCTAAGTTATTTTAATTTGTGACTTATGAAAAGAGGAAAGGCTGGGTGTGGTGGCTCACATCTGTAATCCTGGCACTTTGGTAAGCCAAAGCAGGAGGACTATTTGAGGCCAGGAGTTCCAGGCCAGGAGTTCTACCTGGGAAACGGTGAGACTCCTCATCTCTACAAAGTAAAAATTAAAAAATAGGTCAGGTGTGGTGGCTCATGCCTGTAATCCCAGCACTTTGGGAGGCCGAGGTGGTCGGATCACGAGGTCAAGAGATTGAGACCATCCTGGCCAATGTGGTGAAACCCTGTCTCTACTAAAAAAAAATACAAAAATTAACTGGGTGTGGTCATGCATGCCTGTAGTCCCAGCTACTCAGAAGGCTGAGGCAGGAGAATTGCTTGAACCTAGGAGGTGGAGGTTGCAGTGAGCCAAGATAGTGCCACTGCACTCCAGCGAGACTCTGTCTCAAAAAAATAAAAATAAAAATAAAATAAAATAAAAAATTAGCCAGGTGTGGCAGCACACAACTATAGTCTCAGATACTGAGGAGGCTGGGCAAAAAGATCACTTGAGCCCAAGAGTTCCCGGCTGCAGTGAGCCATGATCATGCCATAACACTCCAGTGCAGGTGACAGAAACCATCTCAAAAAAAAAAAAAAAAAAAAATGTTTAACCATCCAAAGCACAAACACCCATGAGTGTTAGCCCAACATTTACAGAGCTCTTCAATCACAGGTATTTTTTGTTGACTGAAAATTATTGGTAAAATAAACATAATGAAATGTTTTCAGAGTCATTAACAGAAATAAGAGATAATATATTCAAGGTGCCCAGAATAGGGCCTGGCATATTATGAATAATCAGTAAGTATCAGTTGCTATCATCATCTATTATTTTGGATTTAATTTAATCACAATGGGAAAAACAGAAGAGCAGAAGAAGCAAGAGGCTCTTAAGCCTTTCAACTTCACTCAAGCCACAAACTAAAATTCAGCAAAGATTAGTTTGCTAAAGGAAGAAGGGCAAAAATAGGATCATTTCTGATTCTACATGATGCTCTGTCTGGGATTTCCCTGTAAGGATTGCTGGCATGCAAAGCTCATTTTAAGCCTGATCCAGCAGAGGCAGATTAGCAAGTCAGAGTACTGGAAATAACCAATATGTGAAATACACACATTTGCTTCCACTTCCAGAGTAATCATCGATCAATGGATCAACTGAAGGTAAGCAGGAGGGAAAATATGAGAAGGGTCAAAGTTCAGGTTCAGCAGTGACACAGAGAGCGAACAGAGCAGTTTTTGGCATTTGGGGAGATGAAAAAGTTAATACTCAGAATATGGTATCATTTTCACAAACGGTATTCATGTAAACTCAGGCTCTAATCAGTAAGAACTAAACTAGAATAGGCCTTGAAAATCTTATTAGAACTTCAAGGAATATAATACTAATTTTACACTCAAAAAAAAAAAAAAAAAAAAAAGCTTTACTAAACCAACCCATATTCTACCATATTCTATTCCTACATAAATAATCCATTTTACTCACTTAAGAGAACTTCTGAATAAACCACTGTACAGGCACATCACGGAGATTTTTAAAGATGAATTTTAATACAACATCATAAAACAATATTCTCTGGAAAGGTAGTTCTTGAACTTCATAGGAATTGAAGTTTTCCCCTTCATATGTTCATAGGCAGCAGGAGGCACTCCATCATTTTATAGGAGGAGGGGGCCATTCAAAGGTGAATCTTATCTGAAGGTAGGCCTCCATATGCATTTCTTATATTACTGCCACTATACTAATCCAAAGTAACCCACGAAACAAAACCAAAAATTTCAAATAACATTTCTATGAAGTGATTAATTGCTCAGTGACAGGTTTAACATTCCAAATAAACTTCACTGCTGATCTAAAAGAGAATTCTAACAAAAATACTAGTAACATATTCATGATTTTAAAACTAATTTCAGGAGTTCAAATGGATAGCCGGGTACACACTACATAAAGGAATCTAGAGATCATTTCCATTGGGCTTTTTAAGGAAAAAGAAAAACAAAAACATTTTCACTACCATTTAGCTTCATCATGTTCCTTAACTTGAAGTTTATTTTAAATGTAAGAGCCTTGAAGAAGAAAGGATTAGATTTTGTAATGATCCTTAATTCACTTACTATCAATAATATCTCCCAGGCCCTGAGCACGAAGAAGGTCCTTCAGCCGTGTCACCTCCTCCTTTAATTCACGAACTAGTTTGGCATTGGGGTCCTCATTGATAACAGCATTACATTTAATTTGTTTTGCACGATCTGCATATCTAGATCAAAAAAGTTCATTCTTGTCATTTCTCATATGTTCTACTTCTCATAAGTAACATACTATTATTTCTAAATCAAATATCCTGAGTATTTACATTTTTTGAGTCTTGATAAGAATACATTTGTATAAAGCTTTATGGTACCTATTAAAGATGAACAAAAAGGTTCAGATGAATTTAAGTGATCTGTCCAGGATCACAATGAAAATAAATAACAGCAAGAGGACTTAAACTCAATTTATGAGACTATATAGTGTTCATTCCATTATATCAAGTACCTTTCCTGGAAGAAAGGCAAAGAGTTCCAGACTAAAATAGTGAAACCTATTCATATGTAAAAAATAGGCCTCACGAGGTAGCTCACACCTGTAATCCCAGCACTTTAGGAGGCCAAGTGGGGAGGATCACTTGAAGCCAGGAATTTGAAACCAGCCTGAGTAACGTAACAGGACCCCCCACCTCTACAAGAAATTTTTAAAAATTAGCCAGGTCTAGTGGCATGAGTCTGTAGTTTTAGCTACTTGGGAGGCTGAAGTAGAAGGATCACATGAGTCCAGGTGTCTGAGGCTGCAGTGAGCTATAATCTCGCCACTGCACTCTAGCTTGGGCCACACACCAAAACTCCATCTCGAAAACCAAAACAAACAAACAAACAAAAACTTGCCATGAACATTCTGTTAATTGTTTTTTTTTTCTTTTTTTTAAGAGACAGAGTCTCACTATGTTGCCTCGGCTGGCTTCAAACTCCTATGCTCAAGTGATTCTCCTGCCTCAGCTTTCCAAGTAGCTGGGACTATAGGTGTACACCACTGCACCTGGCTATGTTGGTTATTTTTAACACTGCCACATACTCCTATAATTTTATTACTTATTATGACTTCAGCATTTCTTTTTTTTTTTTTCTTTCATTTTATTTGAGACGGAATCTCACTCTGTCTCCAGGCTGGAGTGCAGTGGTACAATCTTGGCCCATTGCAACCTCTGCCTCCTGGGCTCAAGTGATTCTCCTGCCTCAGCCTCCCGAGTAGCTGGGATTACAGGCACACAGCACCACGACTGGCTAATTTTTGTATTTTTAGTAGAGACAGGGTTTCACCATGTTGGCTAGGCTGGTCTCAAACTCCTGACCTCAAGTGATCCACCAACCTTGGCCTCCCAAAGTGCTGGGATTACAGGACTGAGCTATCGCGCCCAGCCGACTTCAGCATTTCTATGACAAACACCACAAGAAGGGAGGCCATTTCTTTTTACAGAAATGAATATTATAAGAAAATGTCACTATTATCTAAGAAGTTACCCAAAAATCCCACTTGAGCAATTTAAAAATCTTTCCTATGAAAAAGTTCCTGCCTTATCTAGATATTCATGGGGGATTAAAAAATAAGTAAAAAGTTCGTACCTTTCCCAATGAAACTGAAAACCATAGAGGTAAATTCTATTATAATGCAAATCACTTTTACCCTAAGTTTTCCCTGTTATGAGAGTAAAGGATCATTATTTACATAAATAACTACCCAGACCGCATAAGAACATCCACGGTATCACAAAATGACTTCTGATGGCAACGTGGTGTATGTTGCTACTGAGATAAAAAGAAAGTACCTCAGAGTGCTCAAAGTCTCATCGTAGTTGATATCTGCAGGGCTCAGAGCAGCAACCATTGCAGTACGAGAATTGCCACCTAAAAAGATTAATCATGAGTATCTCAAATCACATTCATTTTAAAAGAAAAATTTTACTGAATATGTCAAATCTCATGGTACAATCTCAGATCCTAAGATTTAACGTAATGTCAAATCCCTCCATCCTCTCTCTCTCTCCACCCCCTCCCTTTCTTTCTTTTTTTCTTTCTTTCTTTCTAGGCGTCCACCACCACACCCTGCTAATTTTTGTATTCTCAGTAGAGATGGGGTTTTGCCATGTTGGCCAGGTTGTTCTTGAACTCTTGACCTCAGATGATCTGCCCACCTCAGCCTCTGAAAGGGCTGGAATTACAGGGGTGAGCCACCACACCTGGCCTAATGTCAAATTTCTTAAATGTCCTCATGCCAGACGCTTATATTCAAATTTTGATGTCTGAATCTACTGAGTCTAGTTCCTTCCTCCCACTCTGTCTTACACCCACTCCATATCTCAGCTATTACACCAAAACTGCCCTTAGCAATTTGAAAGTCACTAGCAATGGGGATAACCCCAGCAATCCATTTTCAGCCTCTTCTACCAGCAACATTTCACACAGCTGACCACCACTACCTCCTCGTTAAGTAGGAGAACTGTGGCCAGGCGCGGTGGTTCATGCCTGTAATCCCAGCACTTTGGGGGTCGAGGTGGGTGGTGGATCACCTGAGGTCAGGAGTTCAAGACCAGCCTGGCCAACATGGCGAAACTCTGTCTCTATTAAAAGTACAAAAAAAGTTAGGCCGGGCGCGGTGGCTCAAGCCTGTAATCCCAGCACTTTGGGAGGCCGAGGTGGGTGGATCACAAGGTCAAGAGATCAAGACCATCCTGGTCAACATGGTGAAACCCCGTCTCTACTAAAACTACAAAAAATTAGCTGGGCATGGTGGCGCGTGCCTGTAGTCCCAGCTACTCAGGAGGCTGAGGCAGGAGAATTGCCTGAACCCAGGAGGCGGAGGTTGCGGTGAGCCGAGATCGCGCCATTGCACTCCAGCCTGGGTAACAAGAGCGAAACTCCGTCTCAAAAAAAAAAAAAAAAAAAAAAAAAAAGTACAAAAAAAGTTAGCCAGGCATGGTGGTGTGCCTGTAATCCCAGCTACTTGGGAGACTGAGGCAGGAGAATTGCTTGAACCCAGGAGACAGAGGTTGCAGTGAGCCGAGATCGTACCACTACACTCCAGCCTGGGCAACAGAGCAAGCCTCCATCTCAAAAAAAAGTAGAAGTCAATGAAGTGATTTGAAGGTCTGCAAACAGCAGCAATGAAGAGAAATAAGGGTTTGCAATGTCTGATTTTGTGCACCTCAGAGGAGCATGGAGTTTTGAAATAACTTTGAAGACTGAGCCGTCATTTGAAGTGGGTATGGGGAGTTGGGAAGACAACTACTGCACAGTTCATGCCCTGAAGTAAATGAGATATGGGAGTATACTCTGGTTTAAAAGCAGGGAATCCAACCAACAGAAATGAGGAGTAAAAACAAAAGCAGGCAAGGAACACTGAAGTGGTAACATGAATATCTAGAGATTATTTGTCTCCAACACACATGACAATTAACCACAAAAAAGAATCAAAGTTAAAAAGATAACTACTTTTCACTAGTGGTCAACATACCTAGATTTTCTCGAAGGAGCCAAGTAAGTACAGAATCCCTGTAGGGAATAAAATCCGTTTTCTTCTTCTTTTTACTCTATTAAAGAGAAAGGAATGGTCTTAGCATTGTTTGTTAGAGAAAAAAATTCCCAAGAAGGCACAATCAGTCTAAAATTCCCAAGTAAATCAAATTAAAGTACAACTCCATCACTGTGGAAGTTTATCCTTCACAGTTTCAATTCTTCACAATACCAAAAACTCATGTAATAAGGTAATGTTTCCATTTTACATTTTATTTTGAAAAATGTGTAACTTACACAACAGTTGAGAGAACAGTATAATGAGCTACCATACCCAACACACAGCTTCAACCATTATCAATACTCTGCCGATCATCTTTCACTTATCCCCCAAACACTTTTCTGCAACTTTGTATTTTCCTGAGCCATTTTGAAGTCAGTTGCAGACCTCATCTCCATTTATCCCTAAACACTTCAGCACATAAGAACATTCTCTTACACAGAAAACAATGACCAAATTCAAAAAATTTAACATCCACACAATACTATTGCCTAATATCCTGTCCATATGGTTTTCTTTTTCTTACCGTGAAGGTACCATTATCATACCTTACCAAAATAAACAATAATTCCCTAACATCATCTAATACCCAGTCCTCCATTTTTATTTTTGCAGAGGGGCAAATATGAATCCTGTACATTCCAGGTTGAATGAGTAGATCAAATCATCTAGTTAGTGAATTTAGTTGGCCAATCATAATGTCATTGGGTGGGTTGTTGCAAATCTGCTAACTCTTGTAAAATAATACTTGTTTGGTCTCTTTGAAAGGAAATTATGCCAAAAATAATCCAATTACTGAAGCAAAGACTAAAAGTAAAAAGGTCTAAGAAAGTGATATGATTTGCAAATTTAGAAATCTATAAAAGTTTCAAGACGAATGTTCTATTAAGTCTACTTATACAGCTTTCTTCATGATCCTTCTTATAACCACCACAGGATAAAGCAAAAAGCACCAACAAAAAGGCAGTGCTAAAATGAAAAAAAAATTATATTCTCTAAAAGTAAAAATTAATGCAAATGCTTTACAGGTAACAGCTATTCAAGTATCTGCTGGCTGACTACCATGTTGTGACACTTTAAGAAGCTGCCAAGGGCCGGGCGCAGTGGCTCAAGCCTGTAATCCCAGCACTTTGGGAGGCAGAGGCGGGTGGATCACGAGGTCAAGAAATCGAGACCATCCTGGTCAACATGGTGAAACCCCGTCTCTACTACAAATACAAAAATTCAGCTGGGCATGGTGGCGTGTGCCTGTAATCCCAGCTACTCAGGAGGCTGAGGCAGGAGAACTGCCTGAACCCAGGAGGCGGAGGTTGCGGTGAGCCGAGATCGCGCCATTGCACTCCAGCCTGGGTAACAAGAGCGAAACTCCGTCTCAAAAAAAAAAAAAAAAAAAAAAAAAAAAGAAGCTGCCAAGGGGAGGCTGGGTGCAGTGGCTCTCACCTGTAATCCCAACACTTTGAGAGACTGAGGCGGGCAGATCACTGAGGTGAGGAGTTCGAGACCAGCCCAGCCAACATGATGAAACCCCGTCTCTACTAAAATTACAAAAAATTAGCTGGGGGTGGTGGCAGACACCTGTAATCTCAGCTACTTCGGTGGCTGAGGCAGGAGAATCACTTGAACCCGGGCAGTAGAGATTGCGGTGATCTGAGATTGTGCCACTGTACCCCAGCCTGGGCAACAGCATGAGACTCAGTCTCCAATAAAAAAAAAAAAAAAAAAAGGAGAAGCTACTAAGGGGGAAACCAGGGCTTCAAATCACCAGTTTTATAATCCAGTCCCGCAGTCTTGGTATAATCCAATGTTAAACTAAGGATGATCCTACTACTTGCACAAGCACATTTTCTATTCAGAAAAAGTGTACTAAGTGGCTGGCCTCTGTTTCTTTATTTTTTTGAGGAGGAAAGGGAGTAGGCAAGAAACATTTTAATTCCATTTCTTATCAAATATATCCACATCATCTCATCCCACCCATAGACACACAATCCACCAATCAGAAACTCATTTCCAATAGCAGGTTCAATTATAGATTGCATAGACCTCAAGGGAGAATTACGCCTTTCAGTCATTCAGATTAGTGGAACAGACTTTCATTCCACTATGTAATCCTCGAGGCCTAATATCTCAGTTTAAAACCCCTGAGTAGGCTGGATGCGGTGGCTCACGCATGTAGTCCTGCACACCTGTAGCCCCAGCTACTTGGGAGGCTGAGGCAGGAGAATCGCTTGAACCTGGGAGGCAGAGGATGCAGTGAGCTGAGATTACACCACTGTACTCCAGCCTGGGCGACAGAGTAAGACTCTGAGTAGCTGGGACACTCTGGTCACGTGCCACCACGCCCAGCTAATTTTTGTATTTTTAGTAGAGACGGGGTTTCACCATGTTGACCAGGCTGTTCTCAAACTTTGACCTCAAATTATCCACGTGCCTCGGCCTCCCAAAGTGCTGGGATTACAGGCATGAGCACCATGCCCCGCCTTGTTTCTTTATTCTTAATTCCTTCTCTAAAGCAGATCATGTTCTATAAATTAATTTTGGTGTGAAATCTCATGATTTGTGGTCACCCTAAACAGCCACTCTAAATTTCAGAGCCAGAAAACAAATGATGAAAAGATTTTTGAAAGCTCCATTCCTACTTATGCTTCCATACGTCCTGATGAGGATTTAAAACATAAAAGTCAATTCTACGGCTAGTTTATCTCTACCAATCCCCACCATACCTTGCTAGTGCAGTTATCCTACAGGTGAAAGCATTTAAAAGAGAAAACAAGAACACAGGATAAGCCTCCAAGTAGAAATTATAATTTGTTTAAATTTTATATCAGAGGTTATGATTTCTCCAAGGCAAGCAAGAAAGCATTTCATTCTTCTTAGCAATTAAAATGAGGTATTAAACTAAACTAGAACACACAGTGACTAATTTAAGTAATGTAGATAATTAAGCCCCTAATTAAAAAATGTTTTAGCTTTAGTGTTCTATTGTTAAGGAATAGGAAAGAATAAAACTACTGGAAAATAAATACGACTGGCCCTCAAATCAACTGCATTCACTAAGCCAAACTGTTCAAAATACTCCAAAAGATACTGCATCCTACTCAGAAAAGAATGCATAGGAAAAGAAGAGACAATAAATATGCTTGATTTTTGTGAGACATAAAATAAGACTCAAAAAATGAGTCAAACATTAAGTAAATGTTGGCTCTAGTTTTTATAGATCTATATTTACTTTTGTTCTCCTTAATCTCTTTTACTTTCAGTACAAAGTCAAACTGTGTTATACCTAGTATCTTATCTGAAAAGCTCCAAAGGAGAAAGGCAAGATCACATAAAGGGCCACAGAAGGACAGCCTTCACAGACAATAATAAAATATCACAAAGTATATTTGCTGAAGAGACACAACTCCCTTTATAATGAAGTATAAAACTTACCACCTCGGCCAAGGCTGAAATAACTTTGCCCAAAGTTGTAAGAGACTTATTAATATTTGCTCCTTCCTAAAATAAATACCAAAAATGAAAGAATTATGATGAAGAATTTCTACTACTGCCATATAATACAGAACATAAAACATAAAATATGATTTGCCATATGCTAGCATCTCTTTATTACTACAAGTTCTAAAAACGACCTTTAGTCCTCAATCTGTCCTTTTCTCCACTTGATAATAACATGCTGAGACCACAAGCCTAACTCACAGTCCTAAAGTATCTTCACGATGTTTATGCTCCAAAAGCTTACAGATGTGTGTAGCCTTCTTCCCTCAACTCGACATGAAATTTCTGTTCTTCTCACATCTGAATCTCGTATATCCTTTTCCCATGGCCATCTCTTAATTCCATCTAGCCAAATGCTGCCTGTTCCTCAAAATGCAACTCAACTTTCACTCGATGACATTCTCCCTAACTATTTAGTTCGATAACTCATTCTTCCATTGAAGTTACAGATCAGGAGTCTGGAAAATTTTTCCATAAAAGGACAGACACAAATTATTTTAGGTTTTTTGAGCCATATGGTCTCTGTTACAACACTGCCATTGTAGTGCAAAAGCAGCCATAGACAATACATAAACAAATGTATGTAGCTGTGTTTCAATAACATTTTACTTACAAAAATAGCTAGTGGGCTGAATTTGGCCCACTAGCCACACTTTGCTGTCACATGGTACAGAACATTTATTGATCAGGCCATTTACTTGCTAAAATAAATACCTTTAATCGAGTTCCTTTGGCACCAGTTGAATCAGCTCGTTCACTTCCTGCTAGATCCACCAAGCTTATTTTACTGACCTGATAAAGAAAAATAACATGGGGGCGATTCAAAACTAAGGAAGATAGAGTAGAAAACATTTAGAGGCAGAATGCTTTTTAAAGGATTAAGGTATAGAGAAAATTAAAAGTATTAGAGCTCTTAAATATGACACAAAAAGATGAAGACAACATATATCAGAGTCAGTTTAAACAGCATGCACAGAAGGTGCAGTGGCGCACGGCTGGAGTCCCAGCTACTTGGGAAGCTTCTTTGAGCCCAGGAGTTCAAAGTTGTCTATTGTACCCCAGCCTGGCAACATTGGAGAATCTTGTGTCTCTACAAAAAAAATTTTTAATTAAAAACAGAAAGAGCATGCACAAAATTCACAGCAATTATCGCAGTTCAAGAAAAGTATCTTTATGGTAAACATGACATATTTTACCAGAGTATGTTATAAAAATTTATAAAACTCATCAACTCAATAAATGGCATACTAAAAATGAAGCTTTAAGCAACTGGAACTCTTACATATTGCTGGTGGGAATATAAAATGGTACAATCCCTTCGGAAAATAATTTGACATTTCTTAAGAAGCTACAATAAGACTCAATCATCCTACTCCTAAGTATTTACCAAGAGAACAAAAACAAATGTCCACACAAAGACTTGTACACAAATGTTCACAGCAGCTTCGTCAAAAACTGCAAACAGTTTAAAAGCCCATCAACAGCTGAAGTAATAAACTGTGGTGTATCTGTACAGTGCAATACTCATCAGCAATGAAAAGGAACTACTGATAAACACAAGAGCATAAATGAATCTCAAAATCACTACGCTAAGTAAGACTCCAGGCAAAAAATCAGTACATACTCTATGATTCCATTTACATAAAATTCTAGAAAATGTAAACTAATATATAGTGACAAAAGGCAGGTCCTGAATTGCCTAGGGATTGCAATAGAAGAAGGGATAGAGAAAGCCAGAGAGGAAGTATGAAGCAATTTTTGAGAATAATAAAAATTCTTGGCTGGGCGTGGTGGCTCATGCCTATAATCCCAGCACTTTGGGGGGCCGAGGCGGGTGGATCACTTGAGGTCAGGAATTCGAAATCAGCCTGTCCAATATGGCGAAACCCCGTCTCTATAAAAAAAAATATATTCTCTGTATTGTGGCACTAGTTTCACAGGTATATAAATATGTCAAAACTGACTAAATTTTATGCTTTACATATGTGCAGTTTACTGTATACTTCAATAATACCTCAATAAACTTGTAAAAAAATAAAGCTTCAGGAAAGTTTAGACAAAAGTATCCAAAAGGGATTATCAGGAAAGCTATGATTATGTGATTAACATTAATTTTGTAGATTCGACATCATGAAGGAAGGGCAAAACATACTTCCATATACAGTTCTTTGCTGCCATTCAGATAAATACTAACAAATAAATAGCATGAATATTATAACCTCTGGCTAAGCAAGTTATTTGATCATCTATATAAGGAGTATTTCTTTTTTTTTTTTTTGAGACAGAGTCTCACTCTGTCGCCCAGGCCGGAGTGTAGTGATGCAATCTCAGTTCACTGCAACCTCTGCCTCCTGGGTTCAAGTGATTCTCCTGCCTCAGCCTCCCAAGGAGCCGGGACTACAGGCCCATGCCACCACATCCAGCTAATTTTTTGTATTTTTATGAGAGACAGTGTTTCATCATGTTAGCTAGGATGGTTTCTATCTCCTGACCTCATGATCCACCCGCCTCAGCCTCCCAAAACGCTGGGATTACAGGCGTGAGACACTGTGCCCGGCCTTTTTTTTTTTTTTTTAGATGAAGTTTCCCTCTTTTTGCCCAGGCTGAAGTGCAATGGAGCAACCTCAGCTCACTGCAACCTCCACCTCCCGGGTTTAAGCAATTCTCCTGCCTCAGCCTCCAGAGTAGCTGGGATGACAGGTGCACAGCACCACATTCAGCTAATTTTTTGTATTTGTGTGAGACAGGGTTTCACCATTTTGGCCAGGCTGGTCTTGAACTCCTGACCTCAGGTGATCCACCTGCCTCAGCCTCCCAAAGTGCTGGGATTACAGGTGTGAGCCATTGTGCCTAAGAGGAGTATATTTTTAAGAATCATTTTCAGCTAGAAATAAGTCACCAAATAAAAGGTTATCTAGTAATTAGTGACAGTGGTATATAAAGCACTCATTTTATAAGGCAAAGGATCTTATATAATTGCCAACACAATAAACCTAACTTCAAATTTAAAAATCCAGTTGCATCCTTCTTAGGAATATAGACAAAGTAGTATTTGACATCAATTTTTTATTATTAACAATAATAACAGTCTGGGTGTGGTGGCTCATGCCTGTAATCCCAGCACTTTGGGAGGCTGAGGCGAGTGGATCACGAGGTCAGGAGTTCAAGACCAGCCTGGCCAACATGATAAAACGCGTCTCTATGAAAAATAAAAAAATAAGCTGAGCATGGTGGCGTGTGCCTGTAATCCCAACTACTCAGGAGGCTGAGGCAGGAGAATTCCTTGAACCGGGCCCTGGAGGCAGAGGTTGCAGTTAGGTGAGGTCACACCACTGCACTCTAGCCTGGGCTACAGAGCGAGACTCCATTTCAAAAAAACAATAATAATAAAATTAACATTATTCAGTGGCTACTCTGTGAAAGACATTATTGTTTGCACTTAACCTACGTTAATATTTAATCCTTTTAACAATCCTATCAGGCTGCTATGGATGGAGAAACTGAGAAACAAAGAAGTTAAGTAGTTTGCCCAAGATAATATAGCTGAAAAATGGCAGAATCAGAATTCAACGCAAGCAATCTAGCTGTAAAGTCTGCGACATTTAACCACTGCAGAAAATGAAAAATCAATAAGCAAAGGTATTTGAAGAACATCAGAACTGCTGTACAGTTATTTTCCAGGAATAAAACATATCACTTGCTTAAACATTTAATCCCACTATAACATTATCATAGCTCAAAAAATAAAAATAAAAAAAGAATACGCATACCAAAGGCAGCTAATAAGGTAATAATAAAAAGGTTCCAGTCAAGAAGAAGAAAAGAAACAATTTTCTCCTGTGAGACTGCTTAACTGTCTCGTATTAAGTAGTTTTTGACAACCAAAGTCCTGGATTGCTTTTTTCTTAACTATATTCTCTATCTTGCATCTTCATTTAAGAACCTATACATGGCCGGGCACGGTGGCTCAAACCTGTAATCCCAGCACTTTGGGAGGCCGAGGCGGGTGGATCACGAGGTCAAGAGATCGAGACCATCCTGGTCAACATGGTGAAACCCCGTCTCTACTAAAAATACAAAAAATTAGCTGGGCATGGTGGCGCTTGCCTGTAATCCCAGCGACTCAGGAGGCTGGGGCAGGAGAACTGCCTGAACCCGAGAGGCGGAGGTTGCGGTGAGCCGAGATCGCGCCATTGCACTCCAGCCTGGGTAACAAGAGCGAAACTCCGTCTCAAAAAAAAGAAAAACCTATACATAAAACTGGTGTAGGGTGGAAGAAAAATGGTAAGCAGAGGCTATAAAACACCCTCCATTAAGTGAAAGAGCACCCCCCAGCACCCAACCTTTCACAAAAAGCAGAGGGCAACAAAAAGGACTTCTCAAAATCTCCATCCTTCACAACTCAAACCTAGAGACTGAAGTTCTCCTACCTTCTCAGTGGAAAGGTTGGTCTCATTATCATGTTTCTTCTGGGTGAAAACGATCGTAAACACAGCGTGGGAACGGCTACTTGTTTCATTCATGTTCGTAGCTGCCACTGTCCTAAATAAACATAAAGGTGACCACGTGACAATGGAATTCTTAGATGAGAGTTGAAATGGACAGCAGGCTCCACATGATAAGCATTACAATCACAAGCAATAGTCTTAAACTTATTCACAGATTGCAAGATTGTCACTTACACAATTGCTCTCAATACTGCCTTATTTGTGAGCCCATCAAGTTACTCTCCAATTCCAAAGGCACCCCATCAGAATCATTTTTCATACTCCAGCTATCCCTTTAGAAACCAATGAAGCATTTAATTTTTATTCTTTATTACTATTCATTTATTCCAGAATCAATTACCACCATAGCCACATATATACATAACTAACATTTTACCACTACTTGATCACAACCTAAGAGTAAAACTTAACCAGAGCTCTAACATGTTTCAGCAAAGCACTGTTTAGATGAGAAGAAAGATACTTAACATGCTGAAGCCCTCATTGTTACAGCACAGTCAAAGGATCAGAGGACTCCACAATTAAAGCAACTTTCATAGGTATGAATGTGGCCTCAAACCCTTAACTGGGAACAAAGGGCCTCAAAACATGCAAAAGACCTCAGTCCTGACCCTATTTCCTACCATACCTGGCTTTGTTCCCAGCATCCATGAGGTCAGCAATGTCTGTGTAGGAAGTAACTGCCAACTTGGACAGATCCTCCACATAGGGCCCAAGAAGTGGGTGTTCACGCACACGCAAATTACCCTTGTTTTTTGGATTCAGCAAATCTCGTACTCTTTCACAGTAAATTTCCATGTAGCTCACCTATGAACAAATTAGTAAAGTGAATTAGAAGACAGAAAAAGAAATCACACACAAAGGCTGGGCGCAATGGCTCATGCCTATAATCCCAGCACTCCCACACATTGGGAGGCCAATGGGCGGCAAATCACTTGAGATCACTACGAGTTCCAGACCAGCCTGGTCAACATGATGAAACCCCGTCTCTACTAAAAATACAACAAGGAGCCAGGTGTGGTGGCACGTGCCTGTAGTCTCAGCTACTCGGGAGGCTGAGGCAGCAGAATCTCCTGAAACTAGGAGGTGGAGGTTGCAGTGAGCCGAGATCATGCCACTGCACTTCAGCCTGGGCAACAGAATGACACTCTGTCAAAAAGAAGAAAGACGAAAGAAGAAAGAGGAGAGGGGAGGGAAGGAGAGGAAAGGAAAGAAAGGAAAAGTAATCACACATAGAAAAAAAATTAACTTTTATTAAAAACTCTAAGATTAGAGATCAGAAACCTTTACAAAGTGAAATGCCGTAACTCTAGGACCTTTTATTCTATTAACAATATGCACAGATAATCACACTGCCTAGGTGAGAACCAGCCTTCAGACTTTCCCAGTAAGGAAGAGGTGAACAGGTTATCTCTGGAAAGTAGTGACTGCTAAAAAATATTTTAGCAGCAATTTACCAGTTATCAGTATGTTTTTTAAAATGTATACTGTTGTCAATAACTGGGATTTGCACTGAGGTTACTCTAAGAGCTTGGAAATAAGACTTCTATTAGAATTAAAACCAAGTAACAAATATCAATATTATAGAGCTGAGAAGACAAAACAGAAGGGTGAGGCTAACTCTAAGCCTGACCGGCCGGGTGCAGTGCCTCCTGCCTGTAATCCCAGCACTTTGGGAGGCTGAGATGGACAGATCACAAGGTCAGGACTTTGAGACCAGCCTGGCCAGCATGGTGAAACCCTGTCTCCACTAAAGATACAAAAAATTAGCCGGGCGTGGTGGCGTGTGCCACGGCACGTGCCTGTAATCCCAGCTACTCGGAAGGCTGAGGCAGGAGAATTGCTTGAACTCGGGAGGCGGAGGTTGCAGTGAGCTGAGATCACGCCATTGCACTCCAGCCTGGGTGACGGGGCGAGACTCCATCTCAGAAAAAAAAAAAAAAAAAGACTGACCACACTGTTACTAACTTGGACAATGTATCCACCAGAAGGGATAACGGTAGATCAGCATAAAAGCTGGTGGAGGAAGGACCTATCCTAGATTTGTGGGGAGAAAGAAGACTCAAGACAATACACTTCATAAATTCTTGTCCCACTGGCAGGACCATTCCCATCATGATGATGAATGCATTAGGCTATCATTTCTTAACATGTATCTAAGCAACTTATCTCCCTTTAATTCCATGCACACCAAACAACCAACAGGGTTCCAACAGAGCTCTATCCACAGTAAGATAATATATTAGTCTTGCAAACATTCTGGCCTTAGTAATAGTTATTTCTCATGGGAAAGTAACAAACCAACAACTTAGTTCTATCACATCACTCAAGAGTCTTTAACTTTGAAGGATAGTCCTTTTCTTGATGTATCTACAAAATCAGACTTGTAAGCAAACAAGGCTCTGAACTGGGATAAATTCATCACATTATGATGCTACCCAGGAAACAGATCGTTCTCTTTCATGGAGTTATTTAAGCATACACTACAGCTCCTGAATTTTTAAACTTTAATTATCTATAGACACGTTTTCAGAGTATCTGGAATGGAAACTTAATTCCATTTCTATTGCCATTTTCTTTCATTCGGTCTCTGACTGTATTTATATACTGTATTTTATTTTTATTTATATATATTTTTTGAGACTGAGTCTTAAACTGTCACCCAGGCGGGGTGCAGTGGCTCAAATGCAGCTCATGCAGCCTTGCCTTCCTGGGCTTAAGCAATCCTGCCTCAGCCTCTGGAGTAACTGGGACTACAGGCACATGCCACCACACCTAGCTATTTTTAATTTTTTTTTTTGTAAAGACCGGGTCTCACCATGTTGCCCAGGCTGGTCTTGAACTCCTGGGCTCAAGCAATCCTCCCACCTTGGCCTCCTGAAGTGCAGGGATTATAGGCATGAGCCACCGCACCCAGCCTTATTTTGTATTTTAAAGTCAATTAAAGGCTGGGTGCGGTGGCTCACGCCTAGAATCCCAGCACTTTGGGAGGCTAAGGTGGGCAGACTGCTTGAGCTCAGGAGTTCCAGACCAACCTGGGTAACATGGTAAAACCCCATCTCTGCCAAAAATACAAAAACTTAGCCAGATGTGGTGGTGTGTGCCGGTGGTCCAAAGTGATCACTCAAGCCCGGAAGGTCAGAGATGCAGTGAGCCAAGGTCACACCACTGCACTCCAGCCTGGGTGACAGTGATACCTTGTCTCTAAAAATAAATAAATAAATAAGATAAAATAATAAAATCAGTTTTTAAAAATTGAGAACTTGGGCCGGGTATGGTGACTCATGCCTGTAATCCCAGCACTCTGGGAGGCCAAGGAGGGCGGATCACAAGGTCAAGAGATGGAGACCATCCTGGCCAACATGTTGAAAACCTGTCTCTACTAAAATACAAAAATTAGCTGGGTGTGGTGGCATGCACCTGTAGACCCAGCTATTCGGGAGGCCGAGACAGGAGAACTGCTTGAACCCAGGAGGCGGAGGTTGCAGTGAGCCAAGATTGTGCCACTGCACTCCAGCCTGGCGCCTGGCGGTAGAGCGAGACTGTCTTAAAAAAAAAAAATTAAGAATTTGGCCAGATGCAGTTGCTCATGCCTGTTAGCCTAGTATTTTGGAAGCCATGCATTATGGCACATGCCTGTGGTCCAGATTATTCAGGAGGCTGAGGCAGGAAGATCACTGAGCCCAGGAGGTCAAGGCTGCAGTGAGCCCTGTTTGCACCACTGTACTCCAGTCTGGGCAACAAAGCAAGACCTTGTCAAAAAAAAAAAAAAAAAAAAAGGCCGGGCGTGGTGGCTCATGCCTGTAATCCCAGCACTTTGGGAGGCTGAGGCAGGCAGATCACAAGGTCAGGAGTTGGAGACCAGCCTGGCCAACACGGTGAAACCCCATCTCTACTAAAACTACAAAAAATTAGCCAGGCATGGTGGTGGGCGCCTGTAACTCCAGCTACCTGGGAGGCTGTGGCAGGAGAATCAATTGAACCTGGGAAGTGGAGGTTGCAGTGAGCTGAGACCGAGCCACTACACTCCAGCCTGGGCAACAGAATAAGACTCTGTCTCAAAAAAAAAAAAAAAAAAGGCAACCCTAAAAGATAATTAATCTGAGAGTAAAATAACAGAACAACAAATATTCTTCTGACAGCAAGTCATCCCAGAAAGTGAGATGACTCTTCAATCATTGCTATGTACTTAAATTTGTACATATAATCCTGAATCCCCGGAATATATTACATCTTTTGGAACACTCGTCCCTTTTAACACGAATGTGAGACAAAGAGAACCCAAAGAATCTGGGTAAAAGTTCATGTGCTCCATTCCTTATTCTCTGATATGTGAATCCATCCAAAGGCATCATCATTTCTTTTTTTTTTTTTTTTTTTTTTTTAATTATTTTTTTATTATACTTAAAGTTCTGGGGTACATGTGGCCATCATCATTTCTTTTACTTATGCACCAACCACTCCAGATGTCACCTGGCAGATTCAACTCACTGAGCACCCTTCTCTTACAGGCACTATTCTAGGCAATTGGTACACATCGCTAAATGAGACAGACAAAGGACCCTGCCCCAGTGAGCTTATGCTTCTAGCAAGGGACACTGATAATCAGCAACAAACATAAAAAATAGGTAACTGAGAAAGCATGTTAGAACATGCTGAAAATAGAAAAAAGAAATTAGAACAAGGCAAGAGAGTTCAGAATGTGGCATAAAGGACAAGGGCAAGGTGCAGTATTAAATAAAGTGGTCAAGGTAAGTCTCATTGAGAGAGTGGGATTTAAGGAGACTTGAACGTGAAAAACTTAGTCAAAATGACATCCAAGCGAAGAACATCAGAGGCAGGAGGAAAAGTCAATGTAGAGGCCTTGAAGCAGGAATGTTTCTGGTATGTTCTTGAAACAGCAAAAAAGCTAGCATGGGTGGAGCAAAGTAACAGAGAAGGAAGTAGAAGAGGCAGGTAGAGAGGTCCCACAAATGTGGCAAAAAACCAGTGTCAACTAGGAATCTATGCTCCACTCCAAGTAAGCCTGGGAATTCTGAATAATATGAAAGAAAAGGACATCTTTTATTACCTGTAAGCTCAAAAATTCACCTGATTCAAAAAAGAATAACTATGAAACAAGCTATTCAGAAAATTTATTTTAACACAAAATATGCTTAGAGCAGCACATTCTCTTTTTGGTGTAAGACAGTTCACAAGGCAGAATTCCTTAGAATTTATACATTTATGCAACATCTTAAAGGTAAAGAAAAAAAACCAAAGCAATTAAGTAAATCAACTAGGAATTAAATGCTGTAAGCCTACAGAGAATCACAATGTATACCCCAAAAAAAAAAAAAAAAATCTTGAGATTGCTTAAAAGGCAGCTATTTTTTTCAGAACAGACTGAAGGTAACAGAACACTTTAATATTTCAGTTACTATGAAAGTAAATACCAAAAAAGAGTGTGGGGAGTGGTTAGAGAGGGAGGGAGAGAGAGAGAAACAGCAGCTTCTTTTCTTTTATTGAGACACTCTTGCTCTGTCACCCAGGCTGGGGTGCAGGGGCATGATCTCGGCTCACTGCAACCTCTGCCTCCTGGGTTCAAGCAATTGCTCATGCCTCAGCCTCCCGAATAGCTGGGATTACAGGTGTGCACCCCCACATCCAGCTAATTTTTTGTACTTTTAGTAGAGACAGGGTTTTGCCATGTTGGCCAGTCTGGTCTCAAACTCCTGGCCTCAAATGATCCACTTGCCTTCCAAAGTGCTGGGATTATAGTGTGAGCCACCACACCCGGCCTCAAAACAGCTTCTTAAAGCACATACAAAACAGAGGGAATGCTTATCAAATAAACAAATATGCATAAAGTAATTCTATAGACTTCATGAAAGAGCCAGGGTAAACACAGGATAGATAATTACTTTCCAAGTTTTTATAAGCAATTAAAAAAGTGGGAAGGGGAGGAGATTTGATTATATATATTTAAAACCTATGCCTATCAAAGACCATTATTAACAATATTAGACCGGGTGCGGTAGCTCATGCCTGTAATCCCAGCACTTTGGAAGGCCAAGGTGGGCAGATCATGAGGTCAAGAGATCGAGACCATCTTAGCCAACATGGTGAAACTCTGTCTCTACTAAAAAATACAAAAATTAGCGGGGCCTGGTGGTGTGCATCTATAGTCCCAGCTACTCCAGAAGCTGAGGCAGGAGAATTGCTTGAACCCAGGAGGCGGAGACTGCAGTGAGTCAAGATTGCGCCACTACACTCCAGCCTGGCACCTGGCGACAGAGCAAGACTCTGTCTGAAAAAAAAAAAGAATGCCACTACCGAGGAGCTGGAAACCTGCGTATCATCACTTTTTTAAGGAAAAAAATTTAAAAAAAAAACAGTATTAAAGGGAGAGAGTTCCCACAAATAAATCAGAAAAACACGGTGAACCCAAAATGTAAAGGCAACACATAATTTACAAGATGGTCAACCACACTAATAATCAAAGAAATTCAAATTTAAATAAGAGAATACTTATATTATCAAATTACCAAAGATTAAAAATTGAAAATACTAAATGTTGGCAAGGGCACAATGGTGCTTGCACCCTCCTGGTGTGACTGAAAACTGTTACACAGTCTTACTTTCTAAAAAGGCAATTGGCAATTCAAATGTATTATTTAAACACCAAGAAACATACAAAAGATAATAACTGAAAATAAATGCATACACTTATGAACAAAGACTTAACTGTGGTTAGGTTCAGTGGCTCACACTGTAATCCCAGTACTTTCAGAGGTAGAGGAGGGGAGACTGCTTGAGCCCAAGAGTTCAACACCAACCTGGGCAACACAGGGAAACTACGTCTCTACAAAAAAAATCAATTACCCAGGGGTGGTGGTGGCACACACCATAGTCCCAGCTACGAGAGGCTGAAGAGGTAGGATCACTCAGGCCCAGAAAGTCAAGGCTGCAGTGAGCTATAATCATGCCACTGTACTCCAGGGCCTGAGCAACCAAGTGAGACCCTGTCCTCCAATGCCCGCCCCCCAGCAAAAAAAGATTAAATTATGACATGATTCATTATACCCAAAACCCAAAAATAGCCTAAAAGAACAAAACTGAAGGAATGGTTAAGTGATCTGTACCACAGTTATAATTTGGAGCCATTTAAAAGTCATGCTTGAGGGAATGTAAAACAAGGACCTCTGGTGTCAACTCATGGCTGTACTCACCTCTACAGAGTAAGACATTTCTTCATTACAGTTGTCATTAATTTTTTCAAATAGTTCTTCACATAACTAGGGAAGCAGAATAAGAGAGGCATGAATAGCACAAATGAGAGGAGTACTAAGTTATCCACACATGCTCAATAAGCCAGACGTCCTTTCTCAGTCTGTCTCAAAATACATGTCATAAACACCAAGGTATGATTAATACTTTGAATAAAGTCAGTCATATGCTGCATAACCATGTTTCAGTCAACGATGGACTGCATACATTATAGTGGTCCCCATAAGATTATAAGGAAGCTTGAAAATTCCTATCACCTAGTGATATCTTGATGATCCTGATACTGTGTAGGCCTAGACTAACTAATAAACACATGTCTTAGGCTGGGTACAGTGGTTCACAACTGTAATCCCAGCACTTTGGGAGGCCGAGGCGGGCAGATCAAGAGGTCAAGAGATCGAGACCATCCTGACCAACATGGTGAAACCCCTGCACATGGTGGCGCATGCCTGTAGTCCCAGCTACTTGGGAGGCCGAGGCAGGAGAATCTCGGGAGATGGAGGTTGCAGTGAGCCGAGATCGTGCCACTGCACTCCAGCCTGGGTGACAGATCAAGACTCCATGTCAAAAAAAAAAAATATGTGTCTTAGTTTTAAAGAAAAAGATTTATTTATTTATTTATTTTTATTTAGAGCCAGATTCTCACTCTGTCACCCAGGCTGGAGCACAGTGGCACAATTGCAGCTCAATGCAACCTCTGCCTCCCGGGTTCAAGTGATTCCCCTGCCTCACCCTCCAGAGTAGCTGGGACTACAGGCGTGTGCCACCACACCCAGCTAATTTTTGTATTTTTTGTAGAGATGGGGTTTCACCATGTTGGCCAGGATGGTCTCCATCTCTTGACCTCTTGATCTGCCCACCTCAGCCTCCCAAAGTGCTGGGATTACAGGCTGAGCCACCGTGCATGGCCTAAAATTTTTTTTTTTAATTTAAAATGTGGGCTGGGTGCAGTGGCTCACACCTATAATCCCTGCATTTTGAGAGGTTGAGGCAAGCAGATCACAAGGTCAGAAGATCCAGAACATCTTGGCCAAAATGGCAAAACCCTGTTTCTACTAAAAATACAAAAATTAGTTGGACGTGGTGATGCACACCTGTAGTCCCAGCTACCCTGGAGGCTGAGGGCAGGAGAATCGCCTGAACCTGGGAGGCGGAGGTTGCAGTGAACCAAGATCATGCCACTGACTCCAGCCTGGGCAAAAAGAACAAAACTCCATCTCAAAAAAAAAAAATTTGCTCGGGTACAGTGGGTCATGCCTATAATGTCAGCACTTTGGGAGGCAAAGGCAGGCAGACCACTTGAGGCCAGAGTTCAAAACTAGTCTAGCCAACATTGCAAAACTCATCTCTACTAAAAATACAAAAATTAGCCAGATGTAGTGGTATGTGTCTGTAGTCCCAGCTACTTGGGAGGCTGAGGCATGAGAATTGATTGAACCCAGGAGGCAGAGGTTGCAGTGAACTGAGATTGTGAGACTGCACCACTGCACTCCAGCGTGGGCGACAAAGCAAGACTCTGTCTCGAGGGAAAAAGAAAAAAATTTAAAAATACAAAAAAGCTTATAGAATAAGGATATCAAGAAAGAAAATACTTTTGTAGAGCTGTACAATGTGTTTGTGCTTATTTTTGTTTTTTTTGAGACGGAGTTTCACTCTTGTTGACCAGGTTAAAGTATAATGGCACTGCTCACTGCAACCTCCATCTCACAGGTTCAACTGATTATCCTGCCTCAGCCTCCCGAATAAGTTGGGATTACAGGCATGTGCCACCATGCCCGGCTTATTTTTTGTATTTTTAGTAGAGACAGGGTTTCAACATGTTAGTCAGGCTAGTCTTGAACTCCTGACCTCAGGTGATTCACCCCACCTCAGCCTCCCGAAGTGCTGGGATTGCCGGCAGGGGCCACTGTGCTGGGCCTGTTTGTGTTTTAAACTAAGAGTTACCATAAAAGGATCAGAAAGTTCAAACAATTTAAAAGCTTATAAAGTAGAAAAGTTAAAACAATTTAAGGTTAATTTATTAATGAAAGGAAACTGTTTTTAAAAGCAAATTTAGTGTAGCCTAAGTGTGCGGCATTTATAAAGTCTACAATAATGTCTTGCAATGTCATAGGCCTTCACATTCACTCACCACTCACTCATTGGCTCACCCAGAGCAACTTCCAGTCCTGCAACTCCATGGTAAGAGCCCTACACAGGTGTGCCATTTTAAATCTTTTTTAAATAATCATATTGTTACTGTACTTTTCTCTGTTTAGATATGTATAGGTAAGAAAATACTTACCATTCTATTACAACTGCCTATAGTATTTAGTACAGTAACATGCTACACAGGTTTGCAGCCTTGGAGCAACAGGCTATACAATATAGTCTAGGTGTGGAGTAGTTTATACCTTTCACGGTTTGTGTGAATACACTCTATGATGTTTGTACAACAACAAAAGCACCTAATGACGAATGATGCATTTCTTAAAATGTATCCCCATCCTTAAGAGATGCACGACTGTAAAACGAAAATTTTAAATGCAATCTTCTCATTTAATCTTTTTTTCTTTTCTTTTCTTTTTTTTTTTAAGTTTTTAAGTTTTGTTTTTTTTTAAGTTTTTAAGGTCCCAGACGGTGGCTCACGCCTGTAATCCCAGCATTTTGGGAAGTCAAGGTAGCAAGATTACTTGAGCCCAGGAGTTTGAGACCAGCCTGGGAAATGTCGTAAGACTGTCTCTACAAAAATATTTTTTAAATTAACTAGGTATGGTGGCACATGACTAAAGTCCCAGCTACTCTGGAGGCTGAGGCAGGAGGATCACTTGAGCCTCGGAGGTCAAAGCCTCACTGAGCCATGATCACACCACTGCACTCCAGCCTGGTCACCAGAGTGAGACCCTGTCTCAAATAAACAAGTAAATAATGAAGTTATTTGTAAACACTTATGTCTTTCACCATTAAATCCTAAGTGAAACAAATAATGAAAATAAAAATAAATATCCACGTCAGAACTCTTCTTCATTCCCAAACAATAAAGGATCAAATACAATAATACTAACTGCTCTGAAAAAAGAAAGAGAATCTTAGAGTGTTTGCTGTCTAAAGTAACAATATTAAATTAGTAAAATAAAATGAAAATATCTTCAAATAAGCTATCAAAAAAAAAGAAGGAATAATCACATTTTTCAGAGGTGATCTATACATAGAATTTGGAAAAAAATCAGATCAAAATATTCCCCAGGTGTCCCTAGGACTTAGAACTGAGTTTTAACAAGCTGGTACCACTTTTCGAACAATACAATAATATGGCCTTGGATATATGGCAAAATCATTACAAAACACTGACTTTCCCACCTTTAACAACAGACGTGTACGTGTCAGTCTTTCCCATTCAACTGTAAGCTCCTCTCAGGGAAAAGAATGGGTTATTCACCTTTGTGCCTGGTAAAATAATCCCTACATAAACGTTCGCCAAATAAAAATAACTGTTAAAGCAATTAAAGACTAACAGCAATAATGAGCAGAAGATTGTTGTTTTGTTTTTTTACCTGTGGAATGATGCCAGCCTGGCTTTCTTCTTGTTTACCCATCATTGTATAAGATTTTCCAGCACCAGTCTGCCCATAGGCAAAAATACAAACATTATATCCCTCAAAGGCATGTAAGAGCATTTCCTTTCCAATGTCATTGTACACACGGTTTTGAGATGCAAAGCAGGGATCTTCAGGCTGTAAAGAGTAAAAGGAAAAATAAATGACCTTTTATTCATATTTCTTCCTATGCTTACTTGATAGCTTCCATAATAAACGAAACAGTCACCTAAAATTGACTTCACATTTTTTAAGCTCCCTCTACACAAATTTACTTTTCTCATTAAATACATGCACATGCACACACACACACACACACACACTCACAAACATAAGCACTATTAGAGTCATTCAGGTCAGCCATACTTAAAAATATCTACATAAAATTATCTGGCATAATTTCATTTTATTTTCTATAACCTTAAAAGTATCACTCTTTCATTCACAGAGCCAAGATTTTACGTGGAAAATGAGAATAAAAGACCAAGGGTCATGTTCACATATAAAATACTTCTTTGAACTCCCTCCAGCTAGTAGAACTATTTCTCAATAAACACTGCTTTCAGGGAAGAGTGTTTCCATTCTCCTTCTCAGTCCCTTCCCTTGACAATTAGGCTTTGTCAATAGTTAAAAACATCTATTCCCCAGGGCTGGGCACCGTGGCTCATGCCTGTAATCCCATCACTTTGGGAGGCTGAGGCAGATAGATCACTTGAGGACAGGAGTTCGAGACCAGACTGGTCAACATGGCGAAACCTCATCTCTACTAAAAATACAAAAAAACTAGTCAGGCGTAGTGACACAATGCCTGTAATCCCAGATACTCAGGAGGTTGAGGCAGGAGAATTGCTTGAATCGGGGAGGTGGAGAGGCAGTGAGCCGAGATTGCGCCACTGCACTCCACCCTGGGCAACAGGGCGAGACTCAGTCAAAAAAAAAAAAAAAAGACAGGAGAAACAAAACCAAAACACCTAACAAAGAGATGAGTCATGCAGAAGTAAACTCCAGGAACAATCCCTAACAAGAAGAACATTTGGGGTTCCACACTGAGTAAGGATACCAGGACGGGCCCTACTCTCCATTTTCCTAGACATTGGTAATCTTTTGTTTCCCATGTGGATCCGCAGCCTCTTTCATTCATTCATTCATTTACTTTTTGAGATAGAATCTTGCTTTGTCACCCAGGCTGGAGTACAGTGGTGCAACCTTGGCTCACTGCAACCTTCACCTCCAGGGTTCAAGCAATTCTCCTGCCTCAGCCTCCCAAGTAGCTGGGATCACGGGCGCCTGCCACCACGCCCAGTTAACTTTCTTTTCTTTCTTTCTTTTTTTTTTTTTTTTTTTTGAGACGGAGTTTCACATTTTGTTACCCAGGCTGGCGTTCACTGGCGCAATCTTGACTCACTGCAACCTCCGCCTCTGGGGTTCAAGCGATTCTCCTGTCTCAGCTTCCTGAGTAGCTGGGATTACAGGTGCCCACCACGATGCCTGGCTAATTTTTATATTTTTAGTAGAAATGGGGTTTTACCATGTTGGCCAGGCTGGTCTCAAGCTCCTGACCTAAGGTGATCTGCCCACCTCAGTCTCCCAAAGTGCTGGGTTACAAGCATGAACCACTGCACCTAGCAGCTAATTTTATTTTATTTTTTTTTGGTATTTTTAGCAGAGACAGGGTTTCATCTTTTAAAATGTTCAAAACTCACACTGCCTTACTGCAATTAAAAAAACAATTGGCTGGGCACAGTCACTCATGCCTATAATCTCAGCATTTTGGGAGGCTGAGGCAGGTGGAGAGGTCAGGAGTTCGAGATCAGCCTGGCCAATATGGAGAAACCACGTCTCTACTAAAAATAGAAAAATTAGCTGGGTGACTGTAGTCCCAGCTGGTCGGGAGGCTGAGGCAGGAGTATCGCTTAAACCCAGGAAGCAGAGGTTGCAGTGAGCCAAGATTGCCCCACTGCACTCCAGCCTGGGTGATACAGCGAGACTGGGTCTCAAAAAAAAAACACCCCAGTTTCACTATGGTCATTCCAATCTTGCTGGCCGTTCCCTCAAAATTCAACTTAAAATTAACAGTACTCTAATCAATTTTAATTTGCATTTCCAGCCAGGCATGGTGGCTCACGCCTGTAATCCCAGCACTTTGGGAGGCCGACACAGGTGGATCACCTGAGGTCACAAGTTCGAGATCAGCCTGGCCAACATGGTCAAACCCTGTCTCTACTAAAAATACAAAACTTAGCCAGGCACGGTGGCACGCACCTGTAATTCCAGCTACTTGGGAGGCTGAGGCAGGAGAATCACTTAAACCTGGGAGGCAGAGGTTGCAGTGAGCAGAGATGGCGCCACTGTACTCCAGTCTGGGCGACAGAGTGAAACTCTGTCTCAAAAAAAAATAATAACAATAATAATAATAATTTGGCATTTCCTAAGATCAATGAACAATAATGTTGGTAATGAGGATCCTAAGATACTGATAAATAAATCCTCAAGGGATGTCTAAAATCAGTATAAATTTAGTGTAGGTTCAGCATAAATTTGGCGTAAGCTAAAATATGTTCTATATGTATATATATTTACATATATATGTGTGCATAAACTTTCCATCAACCAAAATACTTTCTAAGAATGAAAATGCTACATTACTACATCAAAGAATGAACTTATGGTAGATAACACTTAAAAAACAAAACTTGGACCTGCTCAGCTAAGAGAAAAGACAAATTGTCAAGGAAAGAGGAAAGGACGCAGGAGCTGGCAGTGCTGTGGAATGAGGGTACTCACTGAGGTATGAGACCAGTAGGAATAGTCGAAGCTGAAGGACTTTGGAGCTTCCTTTGGATTCTTTGGGTTAATAATACCTAGAAGATAAAAATGTTTCATTTTATAAGTCACTCAATTACAAGTTCTTTAGTTAAACATGTTATTGTGTGTTCAAAACACCCCAATCAGTAAATTCATACCACTAAATCTGAATAGGACAATTGAAAATCAATAAGCTGGGCTCAGTAGCTCATGCCTGTAATCTCAGCACTTTAAGAGTCTGAGGCAGGCAGATCACTTGAGGTCAGGAGTTCAAGACCACCCTGGGCAACACGGTGAACCCCCATCTCTACAAAAAAACACAAAAAAACTATCCGAGCATGGCGGCACACGCCTGCAGTCCTAGCTACTTAGGAAGCTGAGGTGGGAGGATCGCTTCAGTCTGGAATTTTGAGGTTGTAGTTAGCTATTATCGACCCACTGCAGTCTAGTCTATTTTGAGATCCTGTCTCAAAAAGGAAGGAAGAAAGGAAGGGAGGGAGGGAGGGAAAGAGGAAGGAAGGGAAGGAGGGAAGGAGGGAAAAAAATAATCACAGTTTTAAGAGGTAATTTATACATGGAACTTGAAAAACCAGATCAACAGTATTAACTGTGTGTTACCAGTATTCAGAACAGACCCTGATATAAAGTAGATGCTCAGTAAATATTCTGTGACAACGTCTATCCTCCCTAGGTAAGTTAGCAGCCAAAATTTGGAAATGAACCACATTACTATTTCTATTCTTTTTGGAGACAGTCTCACTCTTCCCCAGGCTGGAGTGCAGTGGTGCAATCTCAGCTCACTGCAGCCTCCACCTCCCAGGCTCAAGAAATTCTCCTGCCTCAGTCTCCTGAGTAGCTGGGATTACAGGCACCCACCACCATGCCCAGATAATTTTTGTATTTTTAGTAGAGACAGGGTTTCCCATGTTGGCCAGGCTGGTCTCGAACACCTGACCTCAGGTGATCCACCCGTCTCGGCCTCCCAAAGTGCTGGGATTATAGGCATGAGCCGCCACACCTGGCCCATATTACTATTGCAAGGCACCTGTTAAGCATTGAAATATTGGAACACATCGGAAACGGAGCTGGGCGCAGTGACTCACACCATACTATAAAACCCAGCACTTTGGGATGCCAAGACAGGTGGATGACTTGAGGTCAGGAGTTTGAGACCAGCCTGGTGAACATGATTAAACCCCGTCTATACTAAAAATACAAAAGTCAGCCAGGCATAGTGGTACGTGCCTGTAATCCCAGCTACTCTGGAGGCTGAGGCAAGAGAATCACTTGAACCCAAGAGGCAGAATTTGCAGTTAGCCTGGGCAACAGAGTGAGACTTCATCTCAAGAAAAAAAAGAAGTGAAAATCAGAAAATTATTGAATGAATCCAACCACTATTTGAAAGAAGCTCTTTTTAAAGATCTTACTTTCTACTTCAGAAAAGCATTTGGTAATGAAGCACTCATAACAAATAATAATGTTCCTTCTTTTTTTTATATTTTTAAAATTTTACAGGAGTTCCCTCCCCTCAGGATCAACTCTATTATTTCTAAATATCTACGGTTGACAAGTATGTAAATGTGTATGTGTGTGTATGTACGTAATGTAGTATACAGTGGAATCACAGACTAAGTTATTTTAGAGTGTAATTAACCGTGTTACCAGTATTCAGAACAAACCCTGGCATAAAGTAGACACTCAGTAAATATTCTGTTTTTTATCCTCCCTAGGATAGTTTGCAGCCAAAATTTGGAAATGAACCACGTTACAGCAAAATTACTTTTTTGACTGAAATGCATGAAGTCTCACTGCCCACATTAAGAGTGATTTCTCATGTCATTAATCCAGCCACATTATACTTCAGAGACGGACTATGATTGTTAAAACTTAATCTTTCCCCCTCATTCATACACACAAAGCTTTAGCTCCTCAAATTTCACATGAATCTTTATGGCATGCGGTCATGAAATCTCCTCAAAGACTGGAAATCTCAATCCACTCCTTTGAGGCAAGACCACATCCCAGGCTATCAGTGAGATCAGGATTAAAAAATAAATCTGTCTCGGACAGCTGCTACTCAGTACATAAATAGCAACAGTTGCTACGGTTCTTAGGATTCTCTCTCTTGCTGGATTCCACTGGGTATAGCCATGCACTTATGTTCCAACCTCAAATGCTGACAGAGTATTAATAAAGCTCACACTGTACATAATCATGTGACAAGGAGACATGGTTCTAGAAAGAACATCCCTCTACACACAAATGGTAATCCAAGCAAAGCAGTGTACTTCTAACCAAAGAGGTATTAAATACAAGATTTAAAAAACAGCCAACATTCACAGAACGCTTACTCTGAGCCATAAGTACTTTATGTCTACTAATCCCCCTTTTTCCCCCCCGAGACAGGATCTCACTCTGCGGCCCAGACTGGAATACAGTGATATGATCACAACTCACTACAGACTCAACCTCCTGGGCTCAAGTGATCCTCTCACCTCAGCCTCCTGGGTAGATAGGACCACAGGCTCGTACCACCACACCCAACTAATTGTTTTTATTTTTTGTAGAGATGGGATCTCACTATGTTGCCCAGGCTGGTCTCGAACTCCTGGGCTCAAGCCATACTCATGCCTCAGCTTCTCAAAGTGCTGGGATTACAGGTATGAGCCACCACACCAGACCTGCTAACCTATTTGATGCTCCCAACCACTCAATGAGGCAGATGTTTCATTACCCACATTTTACAGATAAACAAACCATCAAGAGAGGTTAAATAACTAATTAATGGCTTCAGACCTAGCTAGTGCCAGATTCAGGATGTAATTTTGGAGAGTATGGCTCCAGAGTTCACACTATTAGCCAAAACACCATCATTTAAATGCTTATTCCCTACATGCAGCATTGCCAAGGCTAAAGGTAGGAAGGCATTTTCATTGAGATACATGTGCACATGTACATGTAAGTGGCCACCCCACTAAAATCACACTATACGCATTGTTTAAAACTCTCTTTATGGGCAGGGAGCAGTGGCTCACGCCTGTAATCCCAGCACTTTGGGAGGCCAACCAAGGTGGGCAGATCACCTGAGGTCAGGAGTTGAAGACCAGCCTGGCCAACGTGGTGAAACCCCATCTCTGCCAAAAATATAAAAAATTAGCCAGGCGTGATGGTGCACGCCTATACTCCCAGCTACTCGGGAGGCTGAGACAAAAGAATCGCTTGAACCCAGGAGGTGGAGGTTGCAGTGAGCCAAGGCTGTATCACTGCACTTCAGCCTGGGCAACAACAGCAAAACTCTGTTTCAAAAAAAACAAAAATAAAAAACTCTCTTCATGGCCAGGCAATGGCGACTCACACTTATAATCCCAGCACTTTGGGAAGCTCAGGCAGGAGATCACTTGAGTCCAGGAATTTGAGACCAGCTGGGCAACATGGTGAAATCCCATCTCTCCAAAAATACAAAAGTTAGCCAGACATGGTGGTGTGTGCGTGTACTCCCAGCTACTGAGGGGGCTTAGGCAGTAAGATCACCTGAGCCCAGGGAGATCCAAGCTGCAGTGAGCCAAGTGGGAATTGAGGGCCGGGCATGGTGGCTCACGCCTGTAATCCCAGCACTGTGGGAAGCCAAGGTGGGCGGATCACAAGGTCAGGAGATCGAGACCATACTGGCCAACATTGTGAAACCCCATCTCTACTAAAAATAGAAAAACTAGCTGGGTGTGGTGGTGGGTGCCTGTAACCCCAGCTACTCGGGAGGCTGTGGCAGAAGAATTGCTTGAACCAGGGAGCTGGAACTTGCAGTGAGCTGAGATGGTGCCACTGCACTCCAGCCTGGCAACAGCCAGACTCCATCTCAATAAATAAATAAATAGGAACTAAGAGGTCTGTAGTTCCTAAAACATGAACGACCACACAAATTCTACCAAGAAAACGGAAATGAATGTCATACTGTGTGAGTCAGATTCTAGGTTTCAGTAGCTCAGCAATAAGAACAATGATGAGACAAGGCATGCCCTCTGAGGTAATCCTCATCCTCAAAAACATGGTTATAATGAACACTTCTAGCCTCTAGAAAATTTGCTTTCAAAAAACTTTCAGGCCTCTGAACCATAAGACAGGGCCACAAAATAAATGATAAAGCTTTTTTTGTGTGTGTGAGATGGGAGTTTTGCTCTTGTTGCCCAGGCTAGAGTGCAATGGTGGGATCTCAGCTCACTGCAATCTCCACCTCCTGGGTTCAAGCGATTGTTCTGCCTCAGCCTCCCAAGTATCTAGGATTACAGGCAAATGCCACCACACCCAGCTAATTTTGTATTTTTAGTAGAGACAGAGTTTTACCATGCTGGTCAGACTGGTCTTGAACTCCTGACTTAAGGTGATCTACCTGCCTCGGCATCCCAAAGTGCTGGGATTACAGGGGTCAGCCACTGTGCCTGGCCAATAAAGCTTTTAAATCATATTTCACTCAGCCTTTTAGCTACCAATTCTACAAAGAATTACTGAAAGACTACTCCAATCTTATCCCTTTGTTCTTTTCCTCAGTAAAAAAAGAAATAAAGAAAAACTACACTAATGAGTTAACTTCCTCAATTCACACAAAATCCTTTTCCTCTTTGTCAATATTCCTTTCTCCCAGACCTTTGAAGCTTCTGAAACTAATAGATTTTCCTAACTTACATCTTCAAAACCAAGCCGCTTTTATTTTTATTTTTTTTTTTTAGACAGAGTCTCACTCACCTTCCCAGGCTGGAGTGCAGTGGTGTGATCTTGGCTAACTGCAACCACCGTCTCCCAGGTTCAAGCAATTCTCCCGTCTCAGCTTCCTCAGTAGCTGGGATTATAAGCACCTGCCATCGTGCCCAGCTAGTTATTATTATTATTATTATTATTTTTTTTTTTTAGACGGAGTCCCACTCACCTTCCCAGGCTGAAGTGCAGTGGCGCAATTTCGGCTCACTGCAACCTCTGCCTCCTGCGTTTAAGCAATTCTCCTGCCTCAGCCTCCTGAGTAGCTGGTACTACAGACACTCACCACCACATCTGGCTAATTTTTATA